TTTTTGCTCCGAATGCCTTCAGGGCAGGTTTGGCTGGCTGGAGTTGTGGGGATCGAACCACAGCAACCTGAGCCTGACTGCTTTGTTGGAGCAGCCACTTAAAGAACTGAGCTAAGGGGCAGGCCCCCTACATATTTCATAATGCCAAAAATAATAAGAATCTCCACCTTAGGCTCCTCTTCAAGATAACCCAGTCTATAAAACTACTGTTCCCAATGTATAAAAGAAATAAACTGAGGCTCAGTGTGGCCATGTATTTATCTTTTCCAGTCCCCCAGTGGGAATGATCATCAATCCCTGCCTCTCAGGGTTATTAGGAGAAGTAAATCAAGTAACAGGGCCTGAAGAACCCCTCTGCCTAGGCAGAGTGTCACCAATGAAGATATGAGGGAGGGGCCGGGGAGATAGCTCGTAGAATAAGCGCTTGCCTGGCAAGCGCAAGGGCCTGAGTTCAATCCCCAGTTCCACCAAAAAAAAAAAAAAGATATGAAGGAGACAGACTGGCGTCAGCTGAATCATGGCTGAATATTGTCAGCTGCATATGGCTTAAGGAGCAAAAATACTCCCTTGGGTATTTTCCATATACTTTTGTATGGAAATATTTCAATATAAAGCATTGTTATGAAAAACTTAGAAGCTAGCCGTGTTGCTGTGTATCTATAGTCCTAGCTACTGAGGAGGCTGAGGTAGGAAGATTGCTTGAGCCCAAGAGTTTGAGACCAGACTGGAAATGTAACAAGGATCTCATCTCAAGAACAAACAAATAAATTGGGAGCTCTAGAAGGGCATGGAGGAGTAGCAGTTTCATGTCAGCCTTTTATTGAGTGGGAACAAAGGCTCTGAGGTGGGAAGAGGTTGAGCCCTGGCTTCAGGCCTCTTTGCATATATGACCTTGGGCTAATCATGTGCCATTTGGAGGCCTCAGTCTTCTTGTCTGATTGGGTGAAAATAACTCGGCCTTCGCAGACTGAGCCCACAGTGAACAGGAAAACAGGAAGTAGGGCTGTGCAGAGCCTCGCTCTGGGCCAGCCCTGAGGCCCTGTTGGTAGCACAGTAGCACCCGCCTTCAGGCTTGGCTGTCCTGCCCTATGCTGGGCTCCCACCCAAGCCTGGCCTTGCCCTGGTTGGGGTTTCAAGTATTGATGATGTCAGTGTGATTGCTCATCTGTGTTGTCTATAAATTCCCAAGCAAGACAAATGCTTCATATTTCTGAAATGAACACTTTCTATGCCAGAGCTCAGCTACTGTTTGCTGAAAAATGGAAGATGAGGAAAAAGTTAATAAGAGCAGCAATATTTTGTATTTAGATCTCTGTCTTTGTACCTGGGATTGACTCCAGGGCCTTTACACTGAGCTGCAACCTCAGTTCATTCTCTCTCTCTTCTTCTT